GTATCTATGTGTGCGTATGTGTGTGTACTTGTATATGTATGTGTGTGTGCGCGTGTTTCTGTGCGTGTGTATGTGTGTGAGTGTGTGTATGTATTTTGATGATTTCGGTGTAAAACAAAAAAAAAAGTATGAAACGAGTTTTGCTGAGCACATTTTGGTTTTTTTTTTTTGACGGTACCGAAAAATTGAACTTATCGCTGTTTCAACATCGTAAAGAATGAGTCACCCTAATGAATTACTTTCCGTTACCTCAGCTATTGCATCATCGTTTTTTTTTTTGCGTTTTTTGCATTTATGCAATGCAAAAATGCATATTGTCGAGAGGTTGGCTGTGTGTATGTATGTGTGTATGTCTGTATATATGTCTGTTTCTTTTTGCGTTTTTTGCATTTATGCAATGCAAAAATGCATATTTTCGAGAGGTTGTCTGTGTGTATATCTGCATATATGTCTGTGCGTATGTCCGTACGTGTGTCTGTGTGTAATTCTGTATGCATTTCTGTGTGTGTGTGTGTGTGTCTGTGCCGATTTTTCATCTCGAAACCTAAGGCTGAAATTTTGAAAACTTGATCAACATGTGTGTGCGGGCTGCTGTCCCCAAAATGGGCGGTCTTACCCACGTGGTACCCACGTACAGGCCCGCGAAAGTTTTTTGCAGATAAATTGCTAACTTGGGAACCTGAAAAGCTAGAAATTTTAAGGGGATGTTCCTCGTTCAAGTAGGACTTAGGGAGTTCAAACCCAACCTCCAGGTATGCGTAATCCCCAAGTATGGGTCGAGAATTTTTTGCAGGAAGTTGCTAGTTCAGGAAACCTGAAAAGCTAGAAAGCTGGAATTTTAAGCGAATGTTTACTGACAGCACTTGTAACCAGTCTTAGTTCTTTTGGCTAGAAGCATCTGCTGAAAAAAAAACTGCCGTTAGCGACAAAAACCTGCTGGAAACTGTGCCAAAAAAAAGGGACAGGAGAAGGAGGGGGTGGGGAGAACGAGTAGAAGTGATTGGAAAAGCCTACAAGCGATTGATCAGGGAAACGTGATGCAAGTAACATTGTTATAAAATTTTAAGGATTGTTTTACTTTCAGCGCTCGTTTGACTATCCGATAGCGGATCCAATATTTGTCAAGAATCGCTACGGCCGTGAAGATCTGCTTGCGCTACTTTCGAAGGAAGCCCAACCACCGAACGGTCTTGAAAAGTGCCAATTCTACGTGACTGCAGCGCAGAAACCTATTGTGCTTGTACCTCTTTCGGACGTCGAAACGGTACTTGTTTTTGTACTGTTGCAATTTTACCGTGAAATAGCGAGGGGGGGGGGGTTGCACGTCATTTCTTCACAAAATAAATAGCAACGCGCACCAGACTAGCCGGTACGATCATGCGTTTTGTGCAGTTCAGCCCATCGAACGATCGCCTATTAATGATTTTCACTGCTTTGTACTTTAGTCTATGCAAAAATAGCTCAAACACTGGAAAACAGTTAAAAATTTCACGCATCAGCGCATGAAAGCTGAATTCGAAATCTTGAGAGGTGAATATCTTTCCGAGATTCCCGAGTTATTAGTTTAGCCGCCAAAATTCTCGCGAGGTCATAGGTGATACTCAACAGCGAGGGAACGCTGGATTTGAATAGGCAAGGTTGAGCGTAGGCAGGGAGTTATTACCGTAAAATTTCAGCTCCTTAGACCCCGTGGTTCCCGAGATAATAATTTACCCGTAAAAACTTTCACTTGCCCGCAGGCGATACCCGAGAGTGCGGGAACGCTGAGTTTGAATGGGCAAGGTTAAGCGTGGGCAGGGGGTCATTACCCTAAAATTTCAGCCTCCTAGACTCCGCGGTTCCTGAGATATTAATTTACCCGTAAAAAACTTTCACGGGGCCGTACGAGTTACCCACGGGTACGCGAAGGCTGAATTTAAATTTGCCGCGTCACCCGTTGGTGTGGAACACTGTACTGAAATTTCAGCCGCCGAGCTTTTGTGTTTCCCGAGTTGAAAGTGCGGGACAAAATGTGGGACACACACATAGAGACAACCCCGTGACAATATGCGCTTTTTAACGCTATTACACAGCACAAAACGCATAAAAAGTGCTTTTTTTGCAGCGGCTACAACACAATATCAATTCAAGCAAAGCAATGAGTCTGTTGAGTCACGCCGATCGCGCAACCATCGCATCCGGTGGCATGATCGGGGCCGCGAACATCCCGAACCAACTGAGAACCGGCCAGGAGAATCGCGCATTTTCACCATCCTGGATGGGTGGCGTCACTTCGGCCGGTATGTTTTTTTGATTTTTTCTGACCGCCTGCTTTGTAATTTTAATTTTAGATGGC